TCAATCCTTTTTCAAAATCATTTTATTTTTGATGAGTTGAGTTATGATAACGTAGAGATGAGTAAGTTACATGCATCACTATTCCAATCATTGGCTAATGAACAAATGCATATGAACTAAGAGATTCTTACAACAATCTTTTCAAAACAAGGAGTTTTCTTTTTTTATGGTTATGGTGGCATGGGAAAAACTTTTCTTTGGAAAACTTTATCAACTAATACTAGGTGTAAAGGAATGATTGTTCTTAATATTCACTAGTGCAAAAATGACATTTTACGTTACCCAATTGTCGTCACATGTCAAAATATTCGACGTAAATAAAACGCGGTAGCAATTTTGTAAATAAGAGGTGAAACTTTTACGTCGCATATTGTAGGAGGTGACGTTAAAAACCTCTTTTACGTCGCACCTGGTACAACGCGACGTAAAAGAGAGCTTTTTAAGTCGTGTGGGGTGTGCGCGACATAAAAAGTGATACTTTTTACGTCACGTGGGGGGTGTGCAACGTAAAAAGTATCATTTTTTACGTCACATGGGGGTGCGCAACGTAAAAAGTTATACTTTTTACGTCACGTGGGGGATGCGCGACGTAAAAAATATCACTTTTTACGTCACATGGGGGTGTGCGACGTAAAAAATGATACTTTTTACGTCACATGGGGGGTGTGCGACGTAAAAAACACTTTTTACGTCACGCACCCCCATGTGACGTAAAAAGTATCACTTTTTACGTCGCGCACCCCCCCACGTGACGTAAAAGAGGCTTTTTACGTCACGTACTAGGGTGTACGACGTAAAAAGTTCTTTTTATTCTCTTCTTAACTCACTCTTGCATCTCGCGCCGCAAGGGTTTTTTAGAACGACAATGAGAACGACGACGATAACTACCTTTCCACACCATTTTCGATCATTTTGGCAGTGAAGAACATCAACATTGTGTCTCATTTTACGAATTTGACATTTCTCCCCGATTGGATTCGAGTTTGAAATCGTTTTCGTGTTTACTCGAGGTTAGTGTTCTATGTCTCCTGATATATGTTCAAATTGAATCCGTGATTGTTTTTGGGGATCTCAATCACGTCATTGTATGAATGTCTCCACTGGATTGTTATTGGAATGTCATTATTTTGTTTGAGTGCATTTTCGGTTTACACACTCCATATACATGCTTTATTATTTGTATATTAATTTATTTTTAAATATAAATTTTGAATCTCTAGGAGTGACGAAACTTTATAACATAATATGAATCGAAGTTGGATGAATGCACGTCGTATTAGTGAAGAGTACGAAAAGGGAGTTGATGAATTTTTGAAATTTGCTAGTGAAAATGGAAAAGGTATTGAATAATATATGGCCTTTTTCATTTAGAATCGTGTCTATAACTAATGTTCTAAGTGGAAAACCCAGAACAAAGACTTTGCAGTTCATTTATCCTAAGGTTAGAAACTTATTATAATAAGTGAATACCATAATTATTGTTTGTATTTAAATTTTGAAAATAACATTATATTTTATTCATCATTTCAGTGTAATAAGCAAACACACTCATTTGAATGTGGTTACTATGTTATGTATTGGATGAGAATCATAGTTTGTGCGGGTATAACTGATTCTTGGACGAAGGTAATTGCTTTCAGCATTAGTTAAGTTTATTTAACTTTATGTGTGTTGCATGTTTACAAGAGTCAAATTAATGTTTGAGGTATTTCAAGATCCATCTCCATTGCCAGAATATGATATCACACAAATTAGAGAATAATGGGCAAGGTTTTTCGTTCAACAATTCTAGTACATAATTTTTTAAGTTCTTGTTCATATTATATTGTGTGTATTATGTAGTTTAGGTAGCTTAGTTTGTATTAACTTTTAGTTTGTAATAGATTTTTTAGTTTGTATGTTTGTATTATATTGTTTTATTATGTAGTTTGAATTATATAATATTATATTTTTAATTTACTAGCTAAAGAAAATTGAACCTCTGGACTGTCTGGTTGTAATATATATTTACAGGTTTTAGTTGTAAAACAGAATCAACTCAATTTTAAAAAAAATAACAACAAATTTACGTCGCATATACCAATACGCGACGTAAATTTACGTCGCATATACCATATGCGACGTAAATTTGCTGTTTTTTTTTTAAATTTTCAAAGTTTTTACGTCTGTTTAGTGGTATATACAACGCAAAATTACGTTGGGTCTTGATAACTGACGTAAATTGTCGGGCTAAAGGGTCCGACGTAAATTTACGTCTCCCGTTTTAACGTCAGTCTTAAATACGATGTAAAAAGCCCTAAATACCTGACGTAAAAGCTCATTTTTGTACTAGTGATTACCTCAAGTGAAATTTCTTCTTTGTTACTTTTTAGAGGAAACATAACTCATTCTTTGTTTTGCATCCCATTATTAATAAATGAGTAATCAACTTGCAATATTTTTCAAGAAAGTCTTCGAGCTAAGCTTTTGATTGAAACCAAGTCAATTATATGGGATGAAGCAGCAATAATGAATAGGTTATGTTTTCAAGCATTTGATAAATATTGAAAGATATTATGAAATGTCAAAATAAAGGCGACCATGTAAAACCATTTGATGTAAAGTTGTTGAGTTAGGAGGTGATTTTAGACAAATTCTACATGTTGTGAAATCACCAATTAATTCTTCAAACGTATGGAACAATTACAAAGTTCTAAAGTTTTATGGAAATATGAGATTAAATACTGCAAGAACATAAGATAATGCAAATGATATAAAATAATTTGCTCAATGGATATTAAATATAGATGATTGAAATATAGATATCAATAAAAATGGTGAAGATCATATTGAGATACCGAAAGGTATTTTAATTGAGAACAAGGACAAACCTTTAATTTTATTAGTTAAATTTGTTTATTCTATTTTGTGCATAACATAAACTCTCATGATTTCTTTCATGATGGAGCAATATTTTATTCAACTATCCATAGAAGAGGTGAATGAATTTAATTTGTCTTTGATACCTGGCCAAGAAAAGAGTTACTTAAGTTCAGACACACCTTTCCCATCAGATGAAGACCAAGAAATTCAAGGTGAATGATTTAGATAAGAGCTTCTAAATGAATTTAAATATTCAAAAATTCCAAATCATTATTTTAGATTAAAAGTTGGTATATTTGTTATGCTATTGAGAAACGTTGATCAAGTTAATGGATTTTGTAATGGAACAAGATTACAATAAATTAATGATTTGAGAAAAAAATGTTATTTATATGATCAGTGCACAAAACATTAGTGGCAAAGTATTTATATCTAGATTTATTTCCTTTATATCCAGGATTTCACTTCAAGTTTTAGACAATTTCCTTTTCCATTATGTTTTACAATAATAATAAACAAAACTCAAGGATAATCATTAAAGAAAATAAGACTTTATCTTCTATGCCCTATGTTTACATAATCAATTATATATAGCTAGAGTAATAACAAAGAAATATATTTATATCAAAGAAAAATATAATCCATAAATAAATATTTGAAAATATTTAAAATAATTTTTATAATATATTACATTGGGTATAAATATTTATTTAATATCAATATACTACTTCTTATCTTTTTTATTTTATATTGTGTTACTAATTTTAAAATAATTTTCCTAAAATACATGTTTTAAAAGAATATAATTATATACACATTATTATTCATTAAATATAGTTTTAATAATATTGTAAATTATTTTCTTATTTATTATAATTTATATTTTTATTATTTATTTAATATGTAATTAAACTTTGAATAGATGAAATATTTCCAGGTAATAAAACTAGTTTAAAACATTTGAAAAGACAGTTTTGGATACACATGTTTTTTTAATAAAAAATAATAATTCAAATATACATTTTATTTTTAAAAATAATCAGTTTTACATGAATATGATATCATTTTATGTTCTGATTTGACATGCTGATAATGTTTTACTATATTCCAAAAATATATTTTGAAATTATATTTTAAGAATTCAAAAAATGTTATTACAAACAATTTATAACAAAAGTAATTTCATTAATTATATACCTTCGAATAGTTTTAAAATAATTTATTTGAATTAAGAAAGTATATATATATATATATATATATATATATATATAATACATAAAATTGAAAAATAAAATTTAAGATAAACTTTAAAAAATATTTTAAAATATTAAATTATTAAATTAAATACTTAAATATAATAAAAAATAGGTATTTTTATACTAATTACTGTCATAAACAAATTAAATAGATAAATAATTAAATGATAAATTAAGAAAAATATGTTTGTTTCATATTAACTTTAAATTTTGTATTATTTCAAATAAATATTATTATAATTTTTTCAGAGTAAATAATAAATATTTCTAATATAAAATAAGACATACACTATCACAATAAATCTTATTTTTTATCATACGTCAGAAACATTACTTTTTAATATCATGTTTTTTATATCGTGTTCTTTAAAAAAAAATTATTTTTAACCACGTTCGAAAGTGTAGGTAAGCCTCACCACGTTCAAGTGTAGATTACATTAGATCTCCCATGTAATTAATCTTATATAATTTATGTTATTAATTGTTTCATAAACTCTTTTAATAACAATTAAACTGGATGAATTTATTAATATTATAATTCAAATTCAAATGCTTAATAGTCACATTTTACGATGCATTTCTAAAGACTTGTAGCTTAAAGCTGTCATATCAATAAAAGTATATCACATTCGTAAGTGCTGTAAATATAGGTGCATTAGGGGAAAAAAAAACTCAAATTTGAAAAATTTTAAAATTTATATTAAAAAATGACGCATTTATGTCACATGTATATTTTGTTTTTTTTATGTTATTGTAACCAACCATCCTTACGGTCCCAACCTAAGCAATTGTTACAAAAAAATAGTTTAGAACACAAAGAATCCAGCAGCAGCGACTGTCGCAACAACAGACAAGATTTGACGAGCGGGAGCACCATTTGCAATGTCAGCCGGGTCGGCAGAGTACGGAGAGAAGGGATCGAAGGGTACGGGTTCGGAAGCATCCAGCTCAAGCGGGTTGCTGGCTGGGGCTGGTGGAGCTGAGACTTCCTCACTCTCATTTGATGGAGACTGTGATGGAGGGGAGGACAGAGGAGACTCAGATGGTACAGGAGATGATGCTGGCGTTGCAGATGATGCTGGTGCTGCAGATGATGCTGGTGTTGCAGATGATGCTGGTGATGGAGATGATGCTGGGGTTGCAAGCGATGGAGATGATGTTGGTGTTGCAGATGACATTGGCGATGGAGACGAATTCGGTGATGATGTTGGTGATGGAGATGAGGTTGGAGAAGGTGAAGATGGAGATGAATGTGGGGAAAAAGAAGGCGCCTCCTGAGCCATGACAATGCAACTTAGGGAAACAAAAACAAGTGCAAGAACAACATGTTGACTTGTCATTTTTTTTATTGTGTTTTTTTTATTTGTTCCTGCACTAAAAAAATCCAGTTACAGTTGTTTCTCTATACGAATGTAGAGAAAAACTGATGCCATTGAGAATGAGGATTGAACGTTATTTAAAGAGAGTTTTGATGGTAGAGAGAGCATTTAGGGACAAACGTGGAGATGATTTCATTTCGAGAAGGAAAGTTAAGATATGGGTGGTTAGGATATTAGAAAAAAAAAAAAAAATAGAGGAAACCAAAAAAACACAGAAACTTATACCTTATTTAGATTTTTTTTTTTTTTAAGGTGCGTGAGTCAACCGGGGATAGAGGAGAAGGTTAATTGTGTTTTTCTTTTTCAAATGTTAAATAAAGACTTTTGATTTTATTGAAATTGTTAAAAAAATGTTTGCTTTTTATTGATTTATATAAGTCATTGTTTATTTTATTTTAATAAAGAAAGGAGATAAGATATATTTAATTCTACGTTTTAATATCTTAAACTATCATAATTTAAAAAAATTGTTATTTAAGTTTTTTTATATATTTTATTATACATTAATTGATTTAAATTATTGTGCATATCTATTAATATTTGAATGGTAAAATTAAAAAAATTAAACTAAAAATCAAAAGAAACTTATCTCATAAAATAAATTAATTTACAAAACTTTTTATTATTTAATATTTTATATTATGTATAAGTATTTAATAAAAAATCATATTATCTTAGAAAAAAACACATAACATAATTTTAATATTCATCAAACTTTTTTACTAAAAATAATAAATAAATAAATAATAAAAAAAACACCCTCCGAATGATGATTTCCGGGAGCGGACTCGATTGAAAAACAAGTAATGTTTTCTAGATTTCATTAGAAAATGAATATGCAATGTGATGACCAGAATAATATATACTATTTATTCCATGACGGTAGATATATCATCAACAAAACCATTCATTGTTCAACCACCCATTTTATTCATGTACTAATCATGTAAACACTTTATGAAAATAAAAATATTTGTATTATTAGAAGAAATTGTTGAATAAATGTTTATGGAAAAGAGTGTACAATATTTTTTTCCATTTTCTATAATTATATCTTGATAGGTTTGTCACATTTATTGTGTTTGTCATGTGCGTCATGTTGCCACCTTTTTCTCTCTTACACGATCCGACCGTGGTTGCATTTTAAGGCGAGTTTATATTCAATGGAAACCACCTTCTTAAACTTTATAGAGAGGAAAAAACTTCTTGTGTCTCGCCAGTTCACCTCGCCATAAAGTGTGGTGGTTGATGTGTTTGATTAAGTTAGTATAGAATTAACTTATTTACTGTGTACGAAGACGTTGTTGGACGGAGTGGTACTGGTCAGAAAATGGATTGTGCTAGCTTTTTGTTGTCTCGGTTTTTAATAATTGAAAGAGGTCGGGATTTTTTATAATAATCCATATGAGATTGAATTTTTTACAATGACCCAAAAAAGGTTAGGATTTTTTACAATGATCTAAACCAGGTTGAAATATTCCACAATTCAACTCAAAAAGGTCATATGTCATTCACGACGATTCACAGGAAGTCGGGGTACCTTACAGGGTATTTTATTACGATGAACAAAATGCGGTTAACCTACACTACACGATAACCTAACCATGATCAAGCTAATTACCCACGAACACCGTATGATCAAAGGGGCACAGAATACCACACATGCCCCTCATGTACTTGAGTGACAAGATAGGATGTAATGTTTTGACGGCGTGGTACATGACAAAAGCTTTTCTCGCAAAGCAAAATGAAGTAATGAGACAATGTACAGAGTATTCTCATCTAAAAAATACCCAAGCATCAGCGAGGATAGAACCCTCGCCAAAACCTTAACGTCTAATACTTGAGATTAGAAAATTGTACAGTGTCCAAATAATCAGCATATTACGAGGTACCTAATCATGATTATATCCACCAAAATATAACCTAAAATCTCATTATTTACTTTAAAAATTTACATAAGAAACAATAATTAAACGTGGATAGTGGTAAACAAAGGTCCATACTTGCTAGAAATATAAGGAAGAATTAAGATTTGGAATAAAGAAAAGAAATTTGAAAGATATAGGTGATCAAATGAGGAACTTTTAAGCATTTCAAATTTAAAAACTAAATCAACCAGTTAAGGTTTTGATTGATCATTATCTAATCTCAATTTACCAATAAACAAAATTTGTTTAATGATGTAACCTCTAATTTTAACTTCAAGATCAATTAATATCAGAAGAGTGGATCTTTTTATTGAACCATATTGTAACATCTCAAAATTTATAATATAAAAATAATGTTCAGATACAAATGCATTGAATTATATGATTGGGTAGTTTAAATATATTTATAATAAAACAAACATTTATAAATATATATATATATATATATATTAATAATAATAATAAAATTATTATAAATAAATATTCATTACAGTTATTGTTAAAATAAAATTATAGTTATTAGAGCATCTCCAATGATGGGTTCTTATAAGAACTCATCTTGGATTCTTAAGTGGGATTCACGAGTGTCACATCATATTTAAGCAACTCTCTTCAAATTTTTACAAATTCACTTTAATGGTGGGTTCTTATAAGTAATTCACCATTCAACTATCACTTTTGACTTTAATGAGACCTGCTATGTCACATCAATAATAATTATAATATATAATTAATTTTTAAAATAAAATAAATAATATATTTAAATGAAAAAAAATAAAAAAAAAATTGACATTAGAAATATGATTAACATTAATTAAAATACAAAATATTAAACAACACCGACAATAAAAAATTTATTGTTCCATTTCTCTCCGATTTGTTGCATTATCTAATTTGTTGAATTACATTGCTTGAGAACCGCGAGGAACAAACTAAAAAAATTGGAAAAAACAACTTTTAGGAACGTTACTTTTACAAGATACTGATGCTTAACTTTTCAAAATGTTACCACGTCGAATTGCTCTAACGACAATTTCTTATAAGCACAGTTGCTTATTATAAATAAATATTTGTTACAACTATTTGTTATTGTTAAAATTAAAATATATCTATTAAACAAAAATTATTATTTATTGTGGTTATTATTATAATAAATCAATTATTATCAATTAAAATATATAAATTATGAAATTGACAATAATAATAATTACTATATTATTATAATATATTATGAAATAAATAATAATAATAATAATAATTATTATTATTATATATGATTAAAATTAAAATATATAGATATAATATGAATTAACAACAATAATAATTATTATTATATATTATTATTAACACTACAAGAAAATAATTTATTACTGACGGATATTTACAGACGGATATGTAGACGTCGGAAAATTAATGATTACTGACGGAAATTACAGACGGATATTCAGACGTCGGAAAATTAATGATTACCGAACGGAAATTACCGACGGATATAATAAAATTGTAGAATTTGGTCTTACCGACGGATATATCCGTCGGTAAATGAAGAATTAATTACCGACGGATATATCCGTCGGTAAATTAACACTTAATTATATCACCTTTAAGCCCGCACGACCAGCACCACTCCCATCCCTTTCTACATCTCATTCGCTTCTCCTCTCCCACTCATCCTCAAGCCTAGATCTGCGCGGCACAACCACTTCCAGTCATCACCGGCAGCCAACACGTCTCCACTAATGCCTATTGTGAGCCCTAACCAACCCCCGCGAACCATCACTACCAATTGTGCCCCAATTTGATTTGTGACCCTCTCATTGCAACCGGTCATTACCTCACCGGTCCTCCGCCATCACGCCAACCACCGCGCACCTTCGAACCACCATCCAACAACACTCCCATTCCTTTATTGATCTCATCCACTTCTCCTCTCCCATTCATCCTCAACCCTACATCCGCGCGCCACGGCCACCTCCGGCCATCACCTTGCGGCCAACACGTCCCCAATAGTGGCTATTGTGAGCCCCAACCAACCACCGCAAACCACCATTACCGGTTGCGCCCTAATTGGATTTGCGACCCCTTCATTGGAAATGGTCATTACCTCACCGGTCCTTCACCACCACGCCAACCACCGCGCACCTTCGAACCACCATCCAACACCACTCCCATTCCTTTCTCGATCCCATTGATTTCTGCTCGTTCCACTCATCCCGAACCCTAGATCCGCGCACAATAACCACCTCCAGCCATCACCAGCAGGCAACACATCCCCGAGTAGTGGCTATTGCACCCCAATTCGTGAGCCCCAACCAACCACCGCGAACCACCACTGCCTGTTGCACCCCAATTCGTTGCGGGTTTTGTACCTTCCTTTGCTTGGTTATGGTTTTTAATTTTGTATTGTTTTGATTTTCTCCAACTCATGAATTTCCTTATTTATGCTGAAAATTTGATCAATGCGCTTAGATAAATGAATTGGAATGATTCTGTAGTGAAAATTTAAGGTTGTTTTCTTCGGAAGCCAAGGGAAGAATTTATGACCCTCCTTTTCCCAAATAAAACAGAATAAGAAAGACATTCAAGTTCAAACATTTGTTGTCTTCTTGCAGTTAAAATGCTTAAACATGTTTTGACGAGTAGTTACGAAAGGTGAAATGATATCCCAATTCTGAGTGGTGCTTGATGGAAATCAAATATGAACAGGGGAATGATCACACAAAGTTTATTGAATGAAATCCTTAAATTCGGAAAAGTTGATGTATTTCTATGATATTCTTGGTTTGCTTGAGTTGATGTATTTCTTCATGTTTGATTTAGCTGAATTCGGAAAAGTTATTGCTTGTTGGACCTGGCATTCACGAGTAAGGATGGGAAGCTAATTCCGAGTGGTCGTTAACGAAGGCGATACTTGTTCTTTTGCCGAGTATGGGGGAACTGAGGTGAAGCTTGACAACAAAGAGTATGTATATGTTTTTTATGTCCTGTTATTAGCTTATTTTTTAGGCTCATATAATTCTTCCACTTTATCCTAAAGTTTAATACGGTAGATATAAATGTTGATGGTTACACTTGAGCTTTGTTAATTTTGTGTATATAACACCTGGAAGATTTATTTCCTTGTTCCAAAGTTGATTGATTCCTTTTGGTCTAAATTCTACTGGGTACTGTCTTCTTTGTGAATCATTGTAACAAGTTTCGAAGAAGGAAACTTTACGCATCTATGCTTAATATTGTGTATCCAATATTTAGAATTTCTTTGTTTGATGCTTCATACATTATGTAATCTGATGTTTCTTTTGTATATGCCTAGATATAGAGCTATAGGACTGAAACTGTTATTGGAGTAAAATAATATTTTAGAACTTTTAAATTAGAGGTAATGATAATTTATCCAGGAATTTTTCAAGCAATGGAGTGGAGGATTTATTCTATTATGATTTGCGATAGTTTATTCCACTTTCGTGCATTTCCTTCCATCTTGTCTCTTTGCATAGGTTCTTGTTTAGACCATTTTCTCGCAAGAAAATAAGAAAGTAAAATGAATTGAACTTCTGAAATTAAGATACTTAATTCTTGTAGTCTTCTCATTTAACTTCTTGTGGTTTATTTGCTACTATTTGTATTGATATCAGCAATCGATATATATTAGTTGGCATGATAAATTTATGAAGCTGAGTTTCTTTACGGCTTGAAGATGCTATTGTACTGGAAAATGTTTGGGAGTTTTGTGAGTGAGGAATGTGGGATTTTTGTTTCAAAGTGAAATGTTTGGTAGTTGTTTCAAGGAGTGCCTTTGGTATCCTATTTTTGTTTTTCTGTTCAACTGCATTTGATGGCATGATTTTATCCATGTGTTGATGGCTGTGTTGAAATGATAATGGGTTCAATTAACCTTAGGTCTCTATGTGCGACAGTGTCGCTCGTTTAGGAATCAATATTTGTTTAGGACAAGTTTTACAAGAAATTTCGGTGTCTTTGGATGTTAGAAACACTACATAAACAAGGTCATGAATAATTGAGAATGATTCAAATTGAAAATGATGACAGTTGTTTCCAACGGGTTGTATCACTATTTGTTATTTCGTATATATCCATGTGGAGGTGTGGGCGAAAATATGAAAAACATACGAGACTATGCTATAACTTCATGAGATTTATGAGTCCCTATTTAATTGACAATGCAAAGGTAGAAACATATTGTTGTTGGATAATACCCATGTGGAGGTGTAGTTAAAAGTATGATAAACATAGGAGATTTCTGCCAGAATTTTAAGAGCATTATGAGTCCTTAAATTTAAGTGTCAATGCAAAGGTAGAAACATACATGTGCATTAAGGTGAACTATGTGTCAGAGTTTGATACTTGAAGATGTAAGCAGGATTCGAGAAGTTCTAGGTAGATAATGTAGTGAGTTTTAATACCTTAATGATGGTCAGTCATGTAGACTTAAATAGAAGAATCAAATAAACTGGTTTGATGTACTGATAAATGTGCAGAAATCACCAAAATTGGTAGGAAGTATTTCTTTCAAAGTAGTTTAAGATTCGTGTTTATCTGAAAAATCGAAGTGTTAACTTAAGCATTAACTATTAGGCTTAAAGTTAAATTAATAATTAAAACGTAACCCTTTCTTTCAAAAAGTGTAGTAGTTCAAACTTCACAATTCTATCATAATTTAGTCCGCACAGTTTTTGTTACTGTTATGAAACAGTTGATATATCCCCACAATAAATGAAAAAGAAAAGAGATTG